AGACTGATCTTTTCCAATCCTCTGGCCACTGCTGAGTTTTCCAAACTTGCTGGCATATTGAGTGTAGCACCTTAACAGCATCATCTTTTAAGATTTTAAATAGTTCATGTGGAATGCCATCACCTCCACTGGCCTTGTTGTTAGCCATGCTTTCTAAGGCCCACTTGACTTCACTCTCCAGGATGTCTGGCTCAAGGTCAGCAACCACACTTAAGTTGTCCGGGACATCCAAAACTTTCTGATATAATTAATATCTCCAATTTTCCTGAACAGATCTCTGGTTTTTCCCTTTATATTATAAGCCGATGATCAGCGCCACAATCAGCTCCAGGCCTTGTTTTTGCTGACTGTATAGAATTTCTCCATCTTTGGCTGCAAAGAATATAATCAATCTGATTTCAGTATTCCCCATTTGGTGATGCCCATGTGTAGAGTCACCTCTTCTGTTGTTGGAAAAGAGTGTTTGTGATGACCAGCTTCTTCTCTTGAAAAAACTCTATTAGCCTTTGCCCTGCTTCGTTTTGAACGCCAAGGCCAAACTTTCCTATTGTTCCTTTTATCTCTTGACTCCCTATTTTAGCATTGCATTCCCCTGTAATGAGAACAACATCTTTCTTTGGTGTCAGTTCTAAAGGTGTTGTAAATCTTCATAGAAACTGGTCAGTTTCAGCCTCTTCAGCATTGTTGATTGGTGCATAAATTTGAATTACTGTGGTGTTGAAAGGTCTGCCTTGGATTCGTATTGACATCATTCTGTCATTTTTGAGATTGTATCCCAGTACAGCTTTTCCCACTCTTTTGTTGACTATGAGGGCTACTCCATTTCTTCTACAGGATTCTTGCCCACAATAGTAGATATGATAATCGTCTAAATTGAATTACCCCATTCCTGTCCATTTTAGTTCACTGACGCCCGGTATGTCAATGTTTATTCTTGCCATCTCCTGTTTGACCACATCCAGCATGTTGGATGCCTTCTGATCTGAGGCGCTCATCTTCTGGCATCATATCTTTTAGCCTTTTGTTTCTATTTATGGAGTTTTCTTGGCAAAGATACTGGAGTGGCTTGCCAATGCCTGCTCCAGGTGGATCGTGTTTAGTCAGAACTCTCCACTATGACCTGTCCGTCTTGGGTGTCCCTGCATGGCATAGCCCATAGCTTCTCTCAATTACTCAAGCCCCTTTGCCACGACAAGGCAACAATCCGTGAAGGGGCTGTCCTTCTTAGCCCTGCTATATACATGAGCATCACATTTTGTTTGCTTCAAAAATACCATGAGAGACAGAATTTGTTCCTGGTCTAATATAGTTTTGTTTCCATTATAGACATATAGTATTTGAAAGAATGAGAATTTGCAGAGACATTGGCAACCTGAATTGAAAAAAGAATATATAAAGTGTTTAAGAAGTGTGGGAAGAAGTTTTTTTCCCAGTCCAAAGCCAAAATGTCCCTTTGAAATCATGTTACCACCTGGAATTCTCTACCAATGTGATGAGACCTCTGTAGAATATTTTTCTGAACAGGTGGTTCTCCACGAAAGCAAGAGGATTTCCCATAAACTGGCAAACTATTATTCCATGATTGGGCTGCAAATAAAATCGACGATGAGAAAAACTACGGGAAGTATGTATGAAAATAAACTCTGAGATAGTGAATGTTATCAAAGTTGGTGTTACTAAACATTCTTAGTCAGGTTGTAGTCAAAATAACTTACTTACGAACTGAAATTATTAGGATTTGGCTGTGAGAGAGATAGGAAGGAAACAAAAGTATCTTTACTCCCTCCTTTTCAAAGAAGACTGCAGTTCCATACTCACATACCTGGAAGTCTCACTCAAGTCAAAAAAGCTA